AAATTCTAACCCAACCAGGCCTTTCCCTATTTTATGTGACACAACACACCATGAAACAACTATTGTAATAGATCACATTATATTATAGCACCATCTAGTGGAAATGATGTACGACTATAATCTTCCCCCTGTTCGACAACCACGGTCTCCTGTAAAGCAGAGACTTCACATCGTTGTTGTGAAGTGTTTATTTACTAGACGTTTTTACAGTAAAATAGTATTATGCAAGCGTTTTCTAGTAAGCAGCATGTATTGCATGATGTTTAGACTAATCTGTAAACCAGTAAGGCCACGCTGGTGTTGACACAGAAGTCTCTGTTGACTTTTCACCCTTTGAACAACTCCACACCCTCACACATCCCATTAAACATTTCACATTAAACATTAAGCTACAGACAGTTGGTAGCTACACACAACTATAACACTCTGTAGGGGCTGGTGTAGTTTGGCATACTATAGTTATAATAGGTCTATAATTCTACTAATGATATTATAGACAAATATTGTTCGTCTTGTGTCTGCAGTGTTAAGCAACTTAAGTTATTTGCAATTATTACAGCACTGAGAAGATGAATATATAAGACTATGTATGAACTTACTGTTCTTGTACAGTAGCCTGTGTTCCCATTTTCTTCAGTTTGCCCAGCAGTAGGCGCGATTGTCTGGCACATAAAACTTACTGTATCTTAGTAGAAGGGCTTAGTGTTGCTGTGAATTATTTCTTTGTAGAGAAACTAAAAGGTTCGAGGAAACACAAAGAATCTGTGTGTATATTTGTTACCGGATGTGAAGGGCGCATAGCAGAGATTATGGGCCACTTGGACAGACGACCCCAGTCATTATAATTCTGTCATGGACAAGCTCCACAATGGGCTGCTTTGTACTAAACTAAGTGCTGATGGGGCTTCTCCAAAATGAAGTTATTAGAGGGAGGCAGTTTAATGTGTTTTATTATTAAGTGCCGCTACATCACTTGCATTTTATGACTAAGTGGGAGACAACTAACGATGAAGGAGATGGATTGGATGGGGTTTTTAATAAGCCTTTTATGTTTGGAAGCGATCTTTTATTTATTTTATTTTTGCCAACTGTTATTCCTGCTTGTCACCAAACAGCACCAGTTGTTGTGTTACTCTTCCGAGATGATCTTATTTGCGAAGGTGTAGAGTTTAACTAAAGTTTCAAGTCCTGGCAATGTTAAATAAAACTAACCACAAAAGGTGCTTGCGCCTTAATCTGCTTTCTGCGCAACCTCCGTGGCCCTGTGTATGCGTATGTGCCACGGTGACTTTCTCTTTTTGACATTGGCAGTGGGCCTATACCTGTCTGGAAATGTCGACTGGCCGTGTGTAACTAGAAGGCGTTTACAGGATGTGCGGGGGACAAAGTGCTGGATCAGTGAAAACTGAGATGACAGGAAGCCATCCTCCCTGCCTGGACGAATTCAGCCAACAAACATAAAACGTCTGAAAAGAGCAGCCCAAGCAAACAAACCACTGTGTAATCAATGTAGCAAAAGGTGATAGGGTGGATTCAGCTAAAATGGGCCAAATAAGACTAGGACATCCTAGCTCTTTAAGATTTTACAACCATTCACAGTCACTGAACCTTACACTGTTGCTACAACACTACTTGACATGTATCAACAGTTTTGATTAGTCTAAGGCTGCTGATAAGACCATGCAATTGAGAAATCGCATGGTATGTGAGCATGGCATAACAACTTTTACTCATGGTCAATAAAGCAAATATAGATAAAATTACCAACAGAGGAAAATGTTTAGGAACAATGCTTTGACAGACTCTCTCAAATAAAGAATTCTAAACTGAAGAAAAACTTAGACTTTTGTAAAAACAAACAAAAAAACCCAGGGATAATGGCATCTATAATGAAGATGGTTGCATCTGCAAAGACTGCATTTAAAGAAAATGCAAAACAAGACCACACATTCACACGCACACACCAGTTCATGTTTAATTGCATTCTTAAATTAATTATACATTCAGCATTTAATTACACGAAGTGTATTTACAGTGTTACTATTGTACACAAAACGCATTGTTTGCTGTTAAAATTAGAATTATTTCAGCTGAAATGACTCTACTTTTACTCTATTTTAGTTTCCTAAATGGTATGGCATTCAATACTAGGTGAGAGAGAAACGGTATTTCGATTTTCTATATGTCCTGCACATATAATGAATTGACAATAAAAATCTTTAACCGTGGCTCATTTTACCTGAATATTGAGACACAGCTCAAGAGGGCACCCACACTCCAACTCCCATAATTCCAAAACAATCCCATTTTTTCAGATTTTAAACAAATAAATATTTGAGAGACTCTTGGCAGTTTGTAAAGTCACCATTACATTTCATCCTTAGTATATTTTATAGCCTTATAAACAATTTACCCAAAAGTGGCCCGTTTCAGCTGACTCCACCCTAATTCAACAGCAATCACAACACAGATCTACAAATAAAACAATGACATTCAACAAAATTAACATATTTAGGTTAATTGTGTAAACCAGCGCCTTGATTTTCCTCTTGGCGTATCTCACTGACATTTCAACAGGATTTGCACATAAGCATCAT